GGACGTGAGAGTTTGTGCAGTCCGGGCTGAGGACAATGAGACACAGGAGATGGAAGCCATGGCTGCGAATGACAAGGACAGCCAAGAGGTTGCACTGAACATGGCAACAGAGTCCCACTCCATGGACAGAGGAGTGAAGAGGAGTGTTGAGAAGAAAGAGAAGGAGGAGATGAATGAGGAGGAAGATCAACAAATGTTGGCCTTGATGCAAGAATTATCTCAACAGGTTGAGCCGGATGCCCCAGCAGATCAGGTCGAGGAGACCCCTTCAAAGAAGTTGAAAGGTGAAGGAATCGAGGACAACCAGAGATCACCAGGCTACACCACAGAGGAGTCAGGGGATGTCATCGTGGAGGCCAGCAGCAGTGAAGATGGAAAGGTGCAAGCCCGCATGGCAAGATGGCAGAATTGGAAGTTGCGGAAAGGCATAGTGAAGGAGGAACCTATGGAGTTGTCGGATAGCCCCGTAGCGGATGTGATCGAGGACAGTCACGTGTTCCCGGTTAGAGGAGAAGCAACAAGCTTGTATGGGTTCATCTCAAGAGAACTAGCATTGCTGGAGAAGATGCCCGGCTGGCATGCTCTACCCAATGGCATCGTTGTCCATTCCAGCCCTCAAGCAACTCACTTTCTGGACCCAAGCATGGCATTTGGTCCAGAATGGTGTGGACGGATGACGTTGTTGAAGAAGAAGGACAACAGTGGAGCATGGGAACAGGTGGAAAGCTTGGCAAACTATGTGGACACTCCATTGCCATACCGACCATTGCCGGGAGGACCTCGGGCGGCCTTGACCTTTGTTGCGCCGGGATTGATCCGTGACTACTTCGTGATCAGCTCTGAGGTCCCAGTGAGCCAGTATCCCTTGTTGAGCGGGGAGCCATCCTCGTGGCTGGACGATGAGAGGGATGAAGAAGGAGGTGAACTGCCAATGTTGGCCGCTGGAAGTGGCGGACGACCAGAGATTGCGGAGGATGTTGCCTTTGTGGACCCTGATGAACTGAGGATCCAGATAGATGAAGCCTGGTTTGACAAGGAGACAAAGTTGAAGGATTTGCAAGAAGTGTGCAAGCAGTTGGGCTTGGCAACATCCGGTTCCAAGATCAAGGTGTTGCGGCGACTCCAAAGCTACAAGCATCACCAGGAGGAGAAGATGGCGTATGAGGTCGCCCAGAGATTGTTCAGTGAGAGCAGACGAGAGGCCATTCCGCTGACAACACCAAAGCTGCCAAGCCGTCATGAGCAAGAGCTTCATCAACTCACGCACTTGCCTTTTCAGTCCTGGTGTCAGCAGTGCGTCGCTACTCGGTCGAGAGAGGATCCCAGGACAAAGGAGGATCAGGCTGACCGGAAGGACCGAGGAAGACCCGTGATCAGCTTTGACTACGGGTTCACATACACCACTGGTGCTCCTGAGGACCGACAGTGGGGCACAGCTTTGTATGTGGCAGAATCAGAGTCCAAAGCCACCATGTGCGTCCCAGTTCAAGCAAAGGGGAGTGCCTCGCTGAAGCAAGTGACGGAAGAGCTCACCAGATTCAGCATGCAGGTCTGCAATACACAACCCATCATTTTCCAGTCTGATGGGGAAAGAGCTACACGTCAGATCTTGAGAGCCATTCAGCATGCACGAGCTACACTTGGCCTGACTACGGAGATCAGAACAACATCCCGAGATCAGCACGCATCCAATGGCCAGGCAGAGCGGACAGTGCAATCGGTGAGGAGGTTGGCGAACACCCTACGCCAATTTGCTGAGGAGAAGACTGGAGTCAAAGTGACGGGAGATATGCACTGCTATCCGTGGAGTTTTCGGCATGCTGCATGGCTGATGCTCAGGTACAGGGTGATCAATGGTGCTACGTCCTTTGAGGTGCTGACGGACAGGCGCTATGTGGGCAAGGTAGCTCTCTGGGGAGAAACAGTGCTCTTCAAGGATGTCACAGCCTTCAAGCACAAGGGTGAGCCCGTATACAGAAAAGGAGTATGGGTCGGAAAGAGTTCCTGGAGCGACAGTCACATCTGCCTGACACGGAGTGGTGCAGTTGAGGCCCGATCTATTCGACGCCTACCTGATCAGTTTGACGGCCAAATGTTGATCAACTGCCGAGGTCTTCCATGGCAGTACTCTGTGCAAGGCATCCTGATGAAGACAAAGTTTGCAGCGCGTCAACGACTGGCAGATGCGGGGTGACGAGCAGGTGGAGAAGGAGGCCAAACTGATCGGAGAGCAAGTGGCTGTTGGCATGTATGGCCATGGACCCATCGCAGGACCAAGCACACCAGGTGTTCCTCCAGATGGGTACCCGAAGACTCCAGGTAGGACGCCCACGGCACCAACTCCGGCACCAAGGACAACAGCAGCACGAACACCAACCATTGCGCCGGTTCCCGCAACACCGGCAACAGCAGCTGCACCCAAGACACCAGCAAGGCATGTACCGGCAGGTGACAAGAGCAGCAGACCCTTGGTACCTCGAGAACTCCCTCGAATCCCACTGGCAGCAGATGATGACGAGAGCCCAAAGAGAAAAGTGGTAAGGCTTCCAATTCCCGAGGCCATGAGAGGAGAGCCAGCAAGGAATTTCCCACCAGGACCTCACGAGGTGGAGACAAGTCCAAAGAGGCAGAGAATGGAAGAAGTTGTTGGAAACCTTGCACCAGTGACACCTCCACTTGGAACGAAGCGAGAGTATGCTCTGCCTTGGGACGATGAAGATGATGAAAAACGGAGGATGAGTCCGAAGAGGAGGATCCAGAGTGTCCAAGAGGAATTTCCTGGCGGAGATGAGATGGTGGCTGAGGAGGTGTTGCAACAGCAGCTCAATGATGTCAGTGATGATGAGGACGTCGAGGTGAGTAAAGGAAAGCCTCCGGAAGTCAATGAGGAGGAGCTGATGAAGCTAGATGCGGAGGCATGCAAGCATGAAGAAGAGCGCCTTGAGAAGATGGGTGTTCTTGAGAAGCTGAAGGAAGGAGAAGTTGCTGACGAGGATTCATATGTCCTGACGTCGAAGATGGTCATCACTTGGAAGCACCGAGACGAGCAAGGTGGCTGGTTTAGAAGAGCACGCCTGGTTGGGAGACAGTTTAATGGTCAGTCTTCACAGAGGACGCCTTCGCTCCTACATCAGCTTCAGTGGTGGTAAGAATGCTCCTTCGATTGCAGATGAGGACTGGTTTGGCCCTCTACACGTTGGATGTGAAGGATGCATTCCTGCTCATGGACCAGCCTGAGGATGAGAAGGCGATGATCGTGACCGAGAACGGTACATACAGGCTGAAGAGAAGCCTCCCTGGTCAGAGAAACGCTGCAGCCCAATGGTTCAAAGGATTCTGCAAGGTAGCAAAGGAGTTCGGACTGGTCCAGGACGTGATGCAGCCCACGATGATGAAGAAGCCTGATGGTCCAAATGAGATGAACGAGAATGGCAAGCTCTATCTGACCATCCACGTGGATGACTTGCTGTTGATTGGGCACGAAGCTGAAGTGGAAAAGTTCATCAAGTACATGGACACTAAAGGCTGGAAAACGGAGAAACGTGGGCCATTGTACTCAGGGAGCTTCAACTACTTGAAGAGAGAGATGGAGCTGATCGACAGAGGCATCACAATCCGACCGGACAAGCAGCACATCAAGGAGCTTGCACGATTGACTAAGGTCGACTCATCGGCAGCTCGCTCTTTAGCCGGTCGAGTTGGTGTCGGAAGAACGCGACACATCGCAGCAGGGCTCCTATGGCTGCAACAGAAGGTAGGGTCCAAGGAGTTGAGAATCACTGGAATTCCTACAGCAGTCAACACCAGTGACATCGGCACGAAGGTCTTGAGCAAAGCGAGGATGAGCGGATTGAAATACCTCATCAAGATGATCAATGGAGATGACGAGAAGATCGGATATGCCGAGTACCAGGAGATAAAGATGAAGGAGGACCTGAAGAAGAACACCGGCAAGTTAGCGAAGACCCTCGGAGCAAATGCAAGAGTTGCAGTAGTGATTGCATTGTCTCTGCTGCAAGGGGGTCAAGGGGCAGACACTCAGGAGCTTGAGACAGAAGAGAACGAAGGCACGGACACGTGGTGGGTTCGGCTGCTGATCACTATGATCTGCTTGGCAAGTGTTGGGGCCTTGAGCTTGGCACGGATGACTTTGCAGGCAGTGCAGACATGGTGCAGCAGGAGACGAGGCCATCGACAACCCGTGCAACGACGAGAAGAAGAAGAGGATGCAGATGATCCGCATGTGAGAAGAGGAGTGCAAGAAAGCACCGACCAGCAGGAAGAGCCGCGCTACGAGAATGACCCTGAGAAGGTGAACATGCAGTGGCAAATAGTTCACCTAGAGGTGGCTGTGGCTGAGCAAGAAGAGAGATTGAAGGAAGCTCGAGAAGAACGTGACCGGCAAGCACGTGAAGTGGTGAGAATGTACAATATGTGCTCTGAGCTGCGCTTCGAGCTTGAAGCAGTGAAGGAAGAGAAGGACAAAGCCCAGAAGAAGGCTATCCAGGTGGCTGGAACTGATGATGAAAGAGCTCAAGAAATGGAAAGGATGGCCGAGGACGTGGCCAGGGCATGGGAAATGGTTGAGCTTTGGAAGAAGCGGGTCACGGAATGCCAAAGGCAGGGACAAGATGAACTGAGAAGTCGCCTCCAGGAAGCTAAATTTACTTTGGATCGAAAGATCTGGAACATTGGTAAGACCAGTGTATGTTACCATCAGCCGGGGTGTGGACATCTGGTGAATAGCACCGTGAAGACACTAAAACCCTGCGCACATTGTGTACCGGAAGCCATGGGGACGGTGTTAAACTTTCCTGAGAATCCAGTGCAGTCGATGTCATCCGGTACACAGTAGATCACATGCTATGCACACAGGCCCAAACTCGCTGTGAAAAGGAGCAGCGCACGTTGTTTCACATATCGGAGATAGTGCGAACCCTCTCAAGACGGCCTTTTCCAGAATGTTTGGGCGTGGCCGATCTGCTTAGCTCGCCCGCCAGCCTGCGACGAGCTCGGGCCTTGCAAGAGGTCTTGCTACATGAGGCCAGGTGGGTCGGTGTTCCTGCTGCGCTGCAGAGACTTGTGTTTGTGATGATAGGTGTCACAGACCTTTCCCCAGATTCCATTGATTGCGGAGGAACTTTGTAATTTGATGTAATGTGAACCGATCCTGGCGTTACAGAAACTTGTAATTACGTTCTGTATAGAGTCAAGGTCCTTTAGTTGTTTCTCCCTAGTCGTTCAGCAAATTACACAGATCACTCCTCCACCTCTGGGGGCAAAGTTGGCCCATGGCGTAGGCTGCACGAACACTGGATGTGCTTGGCCGCGAGGTGGGGAGGGAGGGATGAGGGAACGGGGTTAGACGTACTTCATCATGTGTGTATGAGTGCTTCATGCTGGGTTTCAATTGAAGCCTCGAAAAATCACTTTATGAGTTTGTTTGCCTATTGGTGGAAATCACACATTCTCATGACCTGTGAACGATAAAGCTAGGTGGGATGCAGTTTCCACCATGGATTGCTCACCCCACATGCCAAGCTGCATAGGGCCCAGGGCTGACTACGCTGCTTTTTGAAGATGCATCCAGTGGCATGGTTTTGGTGGGCCAACGTCACAGCCCATATATGCCCATATCCAGTCAGTAAACTAGAAACCCTGACCTTGCAGCACGACCTGCCGCTGGGACAGGTGGCGGAGGCCTCCCTTGGCCCAGTGTTGGCCACCTTGGGCTTCGAGCGGAACGAGGAGGATGGGCGTCCCCATTGAGTGCAGTGAGAGCATCAAGTGCAGGGTGGTGGAACACATCCGGAATACGTCGGGTGATTGGAACCGCCGGTCGCGAGTTTCGTCCAGGACGAAGCGGTGCTGGGGGCGTTGAAGGCCATGCAGAACGCACTGCAAGAAGAACTGGTGGCCGGAGAGGCGCGGATCAAACGACGAGCAGTGGGGAAGACACCAAACCGATGTGAATAAATACTGTAAGTATCTGTAAGTAATTATTTAGTAGATAGGGAGGGGAGAGATTTGTGTCACAACCCCCTTGAGATGTGTTTGAGGTCCACGGCTTTGGGTCCAAGAAGCGCATTTTTGAGACTGCACTGATGCTGGTCTTGGGATTTGAGTGCTGGGCCATCCTAAAGGAGATGCAAACTGGCCAGTGGTAGGTTTTGCGTGCCTTGCGCTTATGATGACTCGATAGAGTGTGTTTATGATTGTTTATGCATTAACAAATCGTCAGTAAAATCCCACTCTAATTGACCGTGGGGTTCAATGTAGGGTAGCGAAAAGTTTCAGTGGGGTTCTGTTCAAATTGCCCATGTTTTTTTTGTGCTGCAGATATGCTGAACGAAGCAATTTCAGCGATTCACGTCATTGAAGCGGATCACAGAATAGAACTTGGAGAAGTCACACCCACGAGGTTTGGCTGCCAGCTGAACAGCGAGGAGCATAAACCAAAAGGTGAACTGGGACCCAAACAGAAACCTGCCACTAAGCAGGTTGAGATCTTGTTGCCACCTCCGCGGTAGCCTCGAGGGCCTCGATGCTTCCGCGGAAGCCGCGGCTGCCGCCCGCTACTATCGCCCTTGCGGCCATCATATACACAACAATTGTTGAGCGACATCTTGCCTGAAGGCAGGCAAGGTCCTTGCATCTGTTGATTTTGCAAAGTATGGATGCATCGTTTCAGAGGCACTTTCATTCAGTGGAGCTTTTGGTGAGAGGGGCGCCGGCGTGTTCAGGAGCACAGATGACGGCACACCAATTGCTGATCTCGGACGTGACGAAAAAGAGTCACATCTTTTTAAAGGAGCAGCAGACCCCAACAAGGCTGCTGCAAGAAGCCCATGAGCTGCATGTGATCGGGCCCGGGTGCCTGGGGCCCAGGGGACGACAATGCCACTTTGCCGTGTGTTTATAAGTTTATTGAATCTGTGGCAACCCTTTGGTTTTGACCAGCATTGTGATTTAACATGATTTATATAACACCCTCCACGTATTTTGGGTGAGTAGCGATGTGAGGGAATGGGCTGGGTTCAGAAATGCAAGTTGTGCCCAGACGCCAAGCTGCTGCAACGGGCCAGCTTGGGGAAAGAGCCAATTCTTGAAAGAAGGCACCTGTGAAATTCATTTGTTACAAGTTCATCCGACCCAGAAGAGACAGAGACCATTGATGTTGGCCCACCCTGGGGCGCCGCCACAGCACCTCCAGGCTGAAGAACTCATCCGGAGCCCCTTTCGCAGGCGCGCGTGGTGGACATGGCTCACATGGCGGGCTGGCGGATGGAAAGTATCCTGTTCTGATGGAAAATGGTGTTGTTTTTGACGCTACTAGGGGCTCCTGGCCTAACTACTAGAGCAAGGACGCTACTAGGGAGGGTTCACTCAACTTTTGGTGCCGACTTTGAGGTCCAAAGGTTGTTGGGGAGTACCTGATCTTGAGCATGGAATCAATCTAACAAGATGAAACCATGAGAAAGATTCCATATTAAATTATATTGCTACATATATCCATGTGCGATGTGCATTTGTCGAGTTTGGTAGTTGCTTTGTTGCTTCAGTTTATATATATATATATATATATATTTGTTCAGACATGAAGAATCCTGCTGGTACAGATTGGTTCGCCTGAGATCATGTACTCTTGATATGATATGTCATCATCTATGAGGTTAGATCCTACTACTGTGCTCCGATCGAAACTCCTCCGACGCGAGAACGTCAGGCTGCGGGCTGCGCTGTACACGCATTTCAATGCTATTGTATGCTCTATGATATATACTTAGGGTCACAAATACATTTCTGCATATGTCTCATTATTTATATTTATATATCACAACCCCTACCTCTAGTTGGCGTCAGATGGGTCAGTGTGCTTTTTTTCTTGGTGTAATTGGTGCCAGTTGTTTCTATAATTCAATTTCATTTGTTATAGCCCACGCTTGAACAGCGTGACTTGAATAGTTGGACGGATTTGAACACTCACTCGTCTGTCTCGTCGCACCCTAGTGTGGCCTGTGGGGAATTGTTTCTTTGCAGAGCAGGGCACTTAAGGCTTTATCGATGAACCAATAGTTTCATTGGTGAAAAGCATCCTACACCACTTAAGGCTTGAGATGACCTATAAAGAAGCGACTACAACGCATTCATCAGTAAGCCACCAACAAGAATGGCAAACACCCAACTCATACCTGGTAGCGCCCTCCGGTATCCAATGTTTTGCTCGATTCAGATGGCCAGGTTTGTGCAGAGCCTTTTGAGACGAATGGGCACAAGGCACTTGTACACAGCCACCCACCCACTGGTGGTTGGTTCAATGCGCAATTCTAGAAGATCGCTCTCCGTGTTCATGGATTGCCACTGGAATACCATCCTCATTGCATCTCGACCGGAAACTAGTTTGGGGCACCACCGAGCATGACAACATTGGGTTCTGGTGAATTTTCGCATGCTGTCCCTGCCAGTTTGGTAGACTCTCATTCCATAAACCAACCAGAATGCCAAAGAAAAGGTGGGGGCATAGTCAAGCATTCAATCTGAATATTACTATGTATTATTGAATGTTCATATACTGTGTATATATATATACATAGATATATATATATATATAATCTGTGTGTTTTAGCGTGTTTGGGTTGATTGTTTCACAAGTCATGCAAGATCACACCGACGGGCTGACTATGTTGCTTTACCATCGCCTGCAGGCTAAACGCTCGTCAAGGCCTCTTTGAGAGTGCTGATGTGGCCCGAGTGCTTTGGGAGGCACGGAGCAGAGTTGAGCAACAAATCGATGGTCCTGGCAGAAAGTGGAACCGCCTTGGCGGGATTTGTCAATCAGATGTACAGTGGCTTCGGATAACCACAGAAGGTTTGGAATCGTGCTGGTGCCAGTTTTTGGCAAACGAGTGTTCCAATTCACAATGAAATACTCCTATGAATGAGAGCACCATTGACAGGCGAGACCCTTCGCTATGGCTCTGCAGATGCGTTTGATGGCCATGCTGTGGCCTGTCACGAAGGGCTGGGAGGGCTTGAGCGCGAGCGAACAAGCAATTTGGTAAATCGGGTGTCGAGTGGAAGCCCTGATGCGTTGGTGACTACCTGGATGTGGACCTGGTACTGTAGGTTTTCGACAAGGATATCTTGATTCCATCCCGTTATAAGCACGCCATCCAACGTTTTGGGTCGGTGCCGACCATGTTGGGTGCGACTTACAGGCTCCAAAGATTTGAGCGGCGTCTTGGAGATAATGAAAAATTATGTGTATATATATACATAATAAGTTAATAATAATATTAAAGTTTCGGATTCGTAAAAGAATGAAAAGGTTTTTGATAATATTGGTCCCCCGGTTCTTTTTTTCCTAAAGTAGATTAAAACTGCAAGTCGGTTGCTCCTATTTTCGAGCTTAAAAGCGGCTGTCGAGTGTACACTTCTCGTTTTGTGCGGTTCATCCTTTTGGACGTGCACTCCTCCCTGGTCGACAGGTTTTTTTTTCATCTGCCGACCAGCATTTCGAAAAAGCGAGCCGTAGGCTCAAACCGCTTCACGTTCCGCATATTTTACATTGGCGGATTTCTAGCATCGGCCCCGTCACTGCGTTGCACCGAGCATCGGTGTGGTGGTTTCCGAGCTGATCCTCGTACACGAAGCTCGCTTCTCTGAGGTCCTCTGGCCTTGGGTCGACCTCTGGCATGCCCCGCACACCGGATGCTCTTGCACTCGATTGGCATTTCTCAGCCCTCTGCAATCCCGCCTTCGATGGAAGCATTGGCTGGACTCCGCAAACCAGATCTGCCATGTAGGTTCGACGGCAAATCGTCTCCTTCTTCCAGTCAGGGTGATCTGCAGCCGTTGTCCCCCTGGTAGGTCAGCTTGATTGGGTGGTTCTTCTTGCGGTTCAGCTTGTGTGGGATGATCTCTCTCTTGACCTCCACTTCTCATGTCCCCCTAGCACTGGCACTCATTGGTGACAACGAAGAAGCACTCTGCCCCATGTCGTTCATTCGTTGTTGACTTTCTCCCCCTTGGGTGTGATCCTCCTTGCGTCCTTGTAGAAGACCTTGTCCCGGAAGAAGTCCGCTCAGTTGTTTGAGCAACCCTCATTCGGCGCACTGTTGGTTCTTCCTCCACCCGACCCCATTGCAGGCGGCATCGCTGAAGGATCTTCATGAGCACCATTCCCAGCAACATCATCATGGCGCTGAGGATGTACAAGATCTGGTCGCCCTCTACGTTCTCATTAACACGCTCGGTGACATTCTCGGCCATAGCTCCATGCACCTCCTTCAAGGCGGACAGCACCACGACGATCTTCATGGCCTTCTCCAAATGGTATTTGGCCACCAACTTCATGGCACGAGGAGCGACGATGCCCTTATCTTCTTCATGGACTTCATCAACTGAGTCAGGTTGCCATGACATTCCCATTCTCTGTCTCAACTCATTGACTCGAGCCACTGGCAAAGCCTTGGTGCCGATGTCCGCAATGAGTTCTCGTCCTGGTTGGTACTTCAGTTCCCATTGACCTGATTGAAGTCTCCATTTGAGGTGAGCAGCTCGAACCTTTAGGTGCCTCGTGCGCCACGCTCCAGTAGCACAACTTGCTATTGATACTGCAGCGGTATTGTCGCACTTGAGGGACTTTGGAACATCTCTCACCATCTCATCAACCAGACATGCGATGCTGTCTCCGACGACCACTGCCTCAATGACTTCAATCAACTCAGCTTCTGCTGTCGACAGTGCAGGAAACGGCTGTTTGCAACTCTTCCATGCCACTGGCGCACCAGCCAATGTCGTGATCACACATCCGTGGCTGTGGGCTCCTCCTGGGGCAAACGATGCGTCGCTGACTGACTCCAAGATGAAGTTGGCGTCCCTTCTGTACCGCAAACCAAGTCCCTGGGTGGCGTTCAGGTGCCTAATGAGCTGATAGGCCGTTTGAACCGCCCATTTTGGTGCCCGACTTGTAGCTGAGCAAATCCTGCTGACCACATAGGCGATTGTCTTTGTAGCCAACCAAAGAAGCTCGCCCCCGAGTTGTTGTGCCTCCCGAATTTGTAGAGGTGTCCGGTCCAGCTCGTCTTCAGGTTCCTGAGAGTCTTTCATCATTTGAGCACTGCAGAGGTCCTCCATACCATGTCTCCGAACCACTTCCCTCAAGTAGGAACATTGATTGGCAAAGAAGTCTCCCTGCTCTGTCAGACTCAACTCCATACCACAGTACCGAACAGGTTCTGCGTCTCCCACGAACCGAGGTCTCCCAAGTCTTTCGAAAGCTCTGTAGCCCACCTTCTACGATCTCTCTGGTGCCAAACAGCATCACATCGTCCACGTACACCAAGCTGCGCACCAGCCATAGGTTCTCCTCTGCAAAGCTCTGTTGGTACTCATAGGTGATGTGGTTCGCCTGAAAAGACATTTGGCTGCAATGTCCCTGTATTCCCCCCAGAGCTTCGGAGACTCTCGTAGGCCATAAAGAGCTCGTTCAACCAGCCACATTTCCCCCTCTTTGACCAATCCCAAGCAGATGAGGATCTTGGGCGGAAGCATGAGTACTAACCGTTTTCTCTTGGTTAGGTTCTCCTCCTGCTCCTCCGGGATGCACTCTTCTTGACCTTCGTGACCTCCTCCGTCGCCACCCTCATTCTCGTGAGTCCTTCCAAGGCGAGTACCTTCTGCCGGCTGCTCTCTTGGAGAGTTCGTAGAGGGGCGTTCAAGAAGGCGGTCTTGATGTCCAAACTGGCAGCTTGCCAGCCGCGCGATGCAGCCAGTGCCAAAGAGGTTCTCAGGCAAGTCGTGTCAGCACCCCCTGCGTACAGCTGCGCCGCTTCCGATCGATCTCCTGGACCCCTTCCAGCTCCCTTGAGGTAGTTTCCACACACCACCAAGCGACACTTTCGGAGTCAATCGTCGAATTGCTTTCTTGCCCTCCAAGGACTGGATCTCCTTCACGATGGCCTCGATCCATAGTGCTCGATCCCTGTAGACTCTAGACCTCATCGTTGGGCACAATGCGAGTCTGCAGGATTTCATCCTCCAGGAGCCTTTGGGTCGACGCCACTTGTTCTTGCCTCAGTGCAATCAGGCCTCGACTCAGAGGTGGAACTTCTCTCGGAGCAGATCCCAACAGATGACCCTCCTCCTCATAGATGGTCTGGAAGAGCATCCGACGGTCATCCTCCCTTCGAAGATCTTCTTCACCTTGGATGCACGCCAGTGGGGTCTTTTCCCGCAATCTCCACCGAAGTCGTATGGGATCATCTTGAATGTGTACCTCCTCCATGACAAGATCTCGCTCATCCGGCTTCGGCTCTTTGGTGTCTCTGATCAAGTAGCTCACCACCTTAACCGTCTCTTTGTCCGTGAGCACAGCGTGTCCCTTGGACACCTCTGGAGTGGGAGTGAGGTAGGTCACCGTCTCGGACCTCGCCTCGAAGGGTCCCCCACGTTCCCACTGTAATGAGTTGTCCAAAGCGTGGCAATTTTTCTTTGGTGTCCTCCCGTCTCCTTCTCTCCAGCTCAGTCACGTGTCTAGCTGCAGCTGGCCACCACTTTGTGGGCATTCCTGAGGCATGTAGAAGGCGACGGACTCGTTGTTTGATCGAAGCAATCGTGGCCTCAGCCCTGCCATTCGACTGATGTTCATCAGGAGGACTGAAAGTTCGAGCCACCCCCCTTTGCAGGCACCACCTTTTGAACGGGTTGTTGTCAAACTCCCTGCATCCTTGCCACAGGGTAGCCGTGTCGTCTCAGCGCGCCAAAGAGCTCCTGAGTCCCTGCTAAGACCTCGGAGGCGCTCTTCGAAGCCAGCGGAAGGCATATGGACATGGTGACCATCTTGTACACCTTCTGCTGCTCCTCCGTCTCCTCCGGTGTCTTTGGAAGTGGCACCGGCGGTACATCTTGGCCCTCGGGTTCTGGATCCGGCAACGGCTGTTGCTGATCACCTTCTCCCCCACCCGGCTGCTCACCCACTTCGTCAAGATCATCAAGTTCTTGATCTTCACCTTCTTCAGACGTAGGTCGATAGGGCATGTCTTCACCATGAGCCTCCAGATCTCGAACCAAATCATACTCCACCTCTCGAAGGGCTTCCTCTTCTTCCAGCGTCGGCCGAACCTCAACCTGTTCGACATCATCCCACGGAGCCTCCTCCATGACCGGCCAGGTGTACGCTCCCACCAGCAAGTACTTCTTGGCCAAGTACGAACGGACCCGTCATGTCCAGTGAGAGAACACATGGAGCCGCAATTCCTTGAGCTCGATGTGGTCTATCCCGAGCAGCAGCTCTTTGACACACTGCGCAGTCCTTGCGGAACGGTACATGCCCTTGTGCAAGATGTTCCTGCCAAGACAGTGCCTTCATCGTCGCCCGTTTCCTTTGTATGTTGATGGTGATGCTCCTTGCAATCTCTCTCATCATCCCCGGGGCCCACCTCGCCAACTCCGAACTCGACACCTCGTGTTTGGTCTTCAAAAAGGCCTTCGCAGGACCACGATCTTCAGGGACCATGAATTCCATATTCAGCGCCAGTGAAGTAGGATTTACCGCCATTCCCCCATAGGCACCCTGGTTGAAAGTCACCAAGTCCAAGTTGAGGTGCTCCTTCATGATCTTCCATTCTTCCGTCCTCCAGAAGGATGCCACTTCCGGCATATGCTGAGGCGCTGCTGGTTGTTCCATGAGGAATCTGACCATCGGCAACAGGTTTGTGCTCTTCTCTTGAGAAAGCCGCGCATCACGACCCAATTTGGCCGCAATGTACAACGTCACCACGCGGAACAACAACACGTCGTCCAAATGACATTTAGCTCTTTCCACCTCATCCAGCTCATCCAGACCCCATGGCCTTAAATTCCCAGAGATCGTGACGGCCCTGGTAGGCCTGTGACAGGATGGTGCCGAAGTTCACTGCGAGTACGGCAATTAGGGCCTCCAATCACTGCATCGACCCAGCCCAGCATGGCAATACGATCCTTGGACACGTCGTGGCTTTGATCCCATTGGATGTCCACCTCCAGCAGCCTTGTGGTATCCCCACCTGCCTCTTTGAGTGCCCGGGTGAGGTCATAACCTTCACGCTTGCCGGCATACAAGTGGATGACCACTCCTTCATTTTTCCAGCGCTTGCGAATGCGCCGGTTGACCCCCAGAATGTCGAGATCTCTTGCCGGAGTGTCTGCAAGGCGGTCCTTGATCCGGATGGGGATCTTGTCGAAGATTGGACAGTCTGCAACCACCTTGTCCATCCAGTCAGTGTCCGTATGTGGGACTCTCCAAAGCGATAGCGCCTCAGCGCCGTTCTCGACCTA